GATAGATAGATAGATAGATAGATAGATAGATAGATAGATAGATCTTCTCCAGCATTGGCAGAAGCATAAGCCAACCCTGCATTCTTAGAAAGACCACAAAAGTTATGTTTTCTGTTACTTGTCATTATTTTTGTAAAGAGAAGAAATAAAGACAGTGGAGACGAGACTTTCCCCCAGCAATTTATTTTGAATTGAACAGATGGTAATGAATTTTATTCGCCCCAGTCCTGGGCCACGATCCAGATAGCAACCTGTTTTCCATGACTGGCACCGTCCCCATCATTCTAAGGCGATGACAGCCGTTAGGATCGAAATGCTTTCGGTCAGGCATTCCACCTGCTTGAGAATGTCTGCCCTGAATTCTCACCATTCGATTTTTCCCTGTAAAATGTAGACACGGCAAATAACACCCGTTTTTCGTGTCTCTTTCCGAAGCAAAGAACCTGAAAGCCATCTGTTTTGATCCTAGCGGTTTTAACGCTGACAAAATTGCCCTCGTTGCTTTTTGGGCCACATTAACATTGACGAAGGAGGTGTGCTATTAATTGCGATCAATAGCGGATGCCAATATTCAGCCTGATTTCGCCACTCGTTTTGTCCTGACATGACGGAGAACGGAAGACATTTGCCTCTCTTTGAAAATGGGATCAAATTTGTAATCTGGGCCTTGACAAGGAAATCTCTTTTTGTCTCCTTTTTCTTTCCGTAAGATCCTTTTCTGTCGTGAGCTTCGGACCCGTAATCCTCATGGGTCTGCCTACCTTGGCTTTATAATTGACCAATTAGGCCTGGCCGGATCAAATTAGGCCCGGTCCTTAAGCCTGACCGATGTGCTTTTCTGTGAAATTTTGCTTCCCTCTGGAGAAGAAAGCTGCGGGTTCAAGATCGGTTGCTAGTTCATGCTGAGATCACAGCCTTGAGAGTCAAGCAAGCTTCTTTGCCTCAAGCTGTTGCCATTTTGTGAGGGGAAATTGTGACATTTTTCTCAGCTTTACAAATGGAGAAAACGTTTCTTCCTAGCTGAAGGAGCACCAAGAAAAAAAAAAAAGATCATTTCCATTGAGAACACAACCTGGGGGGGGAATAAAAAGGGATAGAGCAATTTGCATCTCCTGTCACAATTGCAAAGTTCGTTGTAAGCGATGGCCTTCTAACAACCTTCTATCCACCTACCCTAGGGGTCAGCAACCTGCGGCTCTTGAGCCGCATGTGGCTCTTTCACCCCTCTGCTGCGGCTCCCTCTCACTCAAAATGTCTCACAACTGGCAATGTGCGACACCCACCGGCACACAATTTATTTATTTATTTATTTATTTATTTATTTATTTATTTATTTATTTATTTATTTATTTTTAAATTTATAAGAAGTTTGGAAACGGGTGTAATAATGAAATGGCTGGAATGCTGGCCAATCTGGAGGAGTGACCAATGAGCTGGGAGCGTGCAGGAGTAATGCCTAATTGTGGTATCTAATGGAACAATGATTAATGAGTGGGGAGGAGCCAGGTTAAGAGTCACCTGGCTGATAAAGCTTTATAAGATGGTGGGGAGCTCAAAGCATTAACTCCAACAAAATCTTCCTGTATTTTTTTCTTTTTTTTAAATTTGATTTATATGCCGCCCTTCTCCGGAGACTCAGGGCGGCTTACAGTGCGTTAAGCAATAGCCTTCATTCTTTTGTATATTTTATACAAAGTCAGCTTATTGCCCCCGCAAACTGGGTCCTCATTTCACCTACCTTAGAAAGGATGGAAGGCTGAGTCGACCTTGAGCCTTGGAGAGATTCGAACCAGCAGAAATTGCAGGCAGCTGTGTTAATAACAGGGTGCACTAAACCACTGTACTATCAAGGCTCTTTATGGATTGCTTTATGGATGTTAGTCTGTGCCGGAAAAGGATTCAAACCATCATTTGTGTGTGTGGCGTTTTCTTTATACACCAGAACCCGACAGTTTATTCATGTCAGAAGCATTAAAATGAGGCATGCTATCTGATGTAAAATTTAAAATATAAAATACCAGATTAAAGTATGTGCAAGTTAAACAGATCTAGCCCAGGAAAGAGCAACTTTAATTGCATTCTGTCACACTGCCATGAGGTCGTCAAACATACACTGATCAGGGCAGAAAGAGCAGGTTATACATAGAGTATGTGTTCTCGTCTGCTCAGCTAGTGACTGAAGTGATGAGACTGTCCATACTGTCAGACCTGCCCCGGTCCGATCTCTTAGAAAAGAAAGACCCTCGACTCCAATTAGCTGAAGTGATAGGTTCTTTTACTAAAAGAAGACGGTTGCAGTAAAATCAGTCTAGAACTGAGTTTCCTGCGCAAAAAAAGATACCAAATGTTTCCCCGCATCCCAGCCCTCCCCCCACCCCCACCCCCGTGACCAGTCCATCTTCAGCCAATGAAGATTCGTCTGGGTGTTTTGAGAATGTTGAGATGTTTGGGGTTATCCACATTCTTTCTCAGGGTGCATCAGGGGTGGGTTCTACTTACCTTTACTACCGGTTCACAACGGAGCCGCGCGCTCTTCTGCACATGCGCAGAAGCATTCTGATGACATCGGGGTCAGTGGGCGGAGCCTCCTGCCGGTTTTACTACCAGTTCTATAGAACCGGTGCGAACCGGGGGGCAACCCATCACTGGGGTGCATGACCTTGGGCGCGGGTGCAAATGGGTTCTGAGCTTCCCTGTTCTTCATCAAGCTGTCATTTCCCCTTCTCGATTTCCCACCACCTAGCCATC